TGGGACCTGAGCTGCTTACCACTTCTGGCTTCATCTCTCCCCCTTGCACTTTAAGCACCAACAGAGCTTCCATGGCTTCCTTCATACACACTGGGGGCTCACCCATCCTGCATTAACTCAGGCTAGCAGGGGCTTCACTTGGCTCCTCACTCCCCACCCACCTGTGAAACTCACCTTCTTCCTTAGCCACAGGGTTCCATCCCACTGGCAATTTCTCCTTGAAGCCACGCTCTCAGTCTGACAGCAATCACTCTCTCCCCCGTGTGACTCTGTGCAGATTAATTTCCTACTGCATCTGCCTTACCAGAGCAACAGCTCCTAGGTGTCAGGAACTCTGCATTTCTTATTGCTATACATTCAAGGCCAAGCACATTTCCTGTGCATATAGTGCACCAAACATGTTTCCGTGAAAGCTAATGAAATCTTTGGGTCTTGGGGCCAGTGCTGTGGTGTAGTGGGTAAAGCCGCCACCTGCAGTGCCAGCATCCCATATGGGTGCCAGTTCATGTCTCAGCTGCTCTACTTCCAATCCAGCTCTCTGCTGTGGCCTGGGAAAGCAGCAGAAGATGGCTCAAGTCCTTGGGCCTCTGTACCTGCATGGGAGACCTGGAAGAAACTCTTGGTTCCTGGCTTCAGATTGGTGCAGCTCTGGCCATTGCAACAACTGAGGAGTGAAAAAGTGGATAGAAGAACTCCCCCCCCCACCTCTGCTTCTCTCTCTGTGTAACTCTGACTTTCAAATAAATAAATATATTTTTTAAATATTTGGTCTGTGCATGATGATGTCAGAATCTGACAGGTCACATGCTGTGGTTTTAATGTCACTACCAAACACATTGTGAAATGCAGCACTCAGCACACAGGGGAACAAGGTCGTGAGAGGAGCCTGGCTTGGGGTGGCACCGCCACTTCTTCCTCCTTCACTCTCCATGCCTCATGCAGAGCTTCTAATGGCGACCCCTGGGGACAGAGCATCCGGAGGGTCACAAGCGCATTGTCTATAGGAATTTGCCCTTTTCAGTGGAAAACAAGTGGAGGTTGCTGGTTATGATGACTTTGTATTTTAGATCTGGATTTGCTGCACCTTTTTTTTTTATTTTTTTGACAGGCAGAGTTAGACAGAGAGAGAGAGAGAGACAGACAGTGAGAGAGAGACAGAGAGAAAGAAAGGCCTTCCTTCTGTTGGTTCACTCCCCTAATGGCCGCTATGGCTGGCACTGTGCCGATCTGAAGCCAGGAGCCGGTGCTTCCTCCCGGTCTCCCATGCGTGTGCAGGGACCCAAGCACTTGGGCCATCCTCCACTGCCCTCCCGGGCCACAACAGAGAGCTGGACTGGAAAAGGAGCAACCAGGACTAGTACCTGGTGCCCCAACCAGGACTAGAACCTGGGGTGCCGGCGCTGCAGGCAGAGGATTAACCAAGTGAGCCATGGCGCCAGCCATCTGCACCTTTCTTCATACTAACTTCGCACCAACTTAAAAAACAAGGATGTTTTAGGTCATCCACTTAACAGGTAACAGCATTTCAAGATGTGCAATCTCTTTGAAAAATAGATCAAACTTTTGAACTCATAGCATACTAAGTATGTCTGTAGATAAACTTACAGCTGGAATGCTTAATGTGTCTTCTCTGATATAGGGAATATGATGATAATTGAGCATGGGCCTACTTTATTATTTGGATGATATTCAGTATTTCTTAATCAAGAAGTGTGTGATTTATAAATGTTATATAATCTTAAACTCTGAGTTTTTATTTATTTAATTTTTGCATTAATTAAGACACTGTTGGAAATTTTTGATATAAAAGAAAAATGAAAAAAAAAATCCAATAAATGTAATACCCATTGGGAAGTATTAAGAGGTGGGAACCTCAGGGGCCAGAGCCGTGGCTCAGAGGGTTAAAGCCCTGGCCTGTAGCACTGGTATCCCACATAGGTGCAGGTTTGAGTCCCAGCTACTCCATTTCCAACCCAGTTCCCTGCTAATGTGTCTGGGGAAACAGCAGAGGATGGCCCAAATCCTTGGGGCACTGCATCCAATTGGGAGACCTGGCTCCAGCTTGGCCTAGCCCTGGCTGTTGCAGCCATCTGGGGAGTAAACCAGCAGATGGAAGACCTCGCTCTCTCTGTAACTCCGCCTTTCAAATAAATAAAATAAATCATAAAAAACAAAAACAGGTGGGACTTCACCAGGTGATTAGGTTATGAGGGCCCCTGCCCCATTCATGGGTTAATGGATGAGTGGATTAATGGGTTATGCAGTGAGTGGCTTTGTTGTAAAAGTGAACTCTTCCTGGCTTGTTGGCTCTATCTTGCCATGTGATGTGCTACCCTGCCTTGGGACTCTGGAGTCACCACCAGCAACAAGGTTCTCACTAGATGCTAAGCAGATGCTGAGACCATGCTCTTGGCCACCCAGAACCGTGAGCTTGAAATCTCAATCTCTCTCTCTCTTCTTCCCTCACTGTCCTCTCTCTCTTGTTTGACAAATGATCCAATTTGGCATTCAATCATAGTAACAGAAAACAGAATGAGACTTCACACCTCTACACCTCTTTCTCTCTCTCTCTCTCTTTTTTTTTGACAGGCAGAGTGGACAGTGAGAGAGACAGAGAGAAAGGTCTTCCTTTGCCATTGGTTCACCCTCCACTGGTCGCTGGGGCCGGCGCACCGCGCTGATCCGAAGCCAGGAGCCAGGTGCTTCTCCTGGTCTCCCATGGGGTGCAGGGCCCAAGCACTTGGGCCATCCTCCACTGCACTCCCGGGCCACAGCAGAGAGCTGGCCTGGAAGAGGGGCAACCGGGTCAGAATCCGGCGCCGACCGGGACTAGAACCCGGTTGTGCCGGCACCGCAAGGCGGAGGATTAGCCTAGTGAGCCGCCGTGCCGGCCCACACCTCTTTCTCAAGGGGAAGGAGGGCCTTATCACCTTTCAACTCCCCTCTTGAGGAAAAAGCTGAGGGTGCAATTACTGAAGTTGGAGGCCTCTCAGACACAGGCATGCAGCCTGGGCAAGAAAGCTGGGGAGGAAGAGGCCTGCAGCTTGGATCTACTTGGAAAGAGAGTAAGGCGAGGTCACAGAGCTCACAGTTTGAATTAAAAGGAGGCATGAGGCTCTCTGTAACCCTGACCAATCCAATGCAAGGTTAGCTCCCAGTTGGGTTAACTTGCCTGGCTTGCCCTCCTGGAGAAGAGAGTGCTCATTCATGTCATGCTATCCCTTTAGAGTCAGAACAGCTAAATCACACAGAACTGGGGCTGCCACATTTCTAGGCCCCGGTCTCTGTCTCAGGTAACATGGGCAGACCAAGGAGAGATATGTCACTGGGAAGAGAACGGACTGGAGAATTGAGGAGGCCCTGGGGGGAGATCCAGGTGAGGAGGATGAGATGGGCCCTAAGGGAAAGGTGAGGGTATAGACTGTGGCCTGCATTTCTCAACAGGCCACTGGGCTTGGGCAGTGGAACAAGAAGGGTGATGACCACTTACACAGTGTTCACTGGAACAGCATTTTCCATATGTGATCTCATTTAATCCTCAAACAACCCCATGAGCAGGTGGTCTACCTGAACCCACCAGACAGATTAGGTGATAGACAGTGAGACATGTCCCAGGCCACCCAGTGAGTGAGCCCAGCTCTGACCCAATACCCATCCTCTTAAGTGGGGTTAGACTCCAAAACTGGAGCTGAGTCCAAATCACGGTTGAATTTCCCTGAGCACGAAGAGCGAGAGGGCATGTGGGAGCCATGACTGAGCCGAGTTCAGCAGATTTGTACCTACAAAAACCCCCTGCTCTCCCTAAGCACAAGTTCACAGGGACACTGTGGGTGAAAGGAACTGCCTGCTTAAATGACCCCTCTCTCGCCCTTCTCTCTCACCCCATATATGCCTGGTTGAGTTCACAGAAGCTAAATGTGCGTATCATGGGAATCTGTTTCCTGCCAACAAAAGCCAAGCCACGTGGACGGAATAAAACAATCACGGGTTGAGCTTCTGGGCACCGCTCCAAGATTCTTTGAGGATATTGTTTTATTTTATTCTCAGAACAAAATCTGTGAAGTAGGTATTGTTACCAGCACAGAATGACAGCTGAGACAAGAGAACTGCTTCCAGTCACGGATCCAGAGAGTGGCTCAGCGAACCAGAACCGAGTTCTATAGAATTCCAATCAGTGTCCACTTGAGCACGAGAAACGGGCTGCTCCAAAGGCAGAGGAGCACGGCAGGGTCTACCTTCTGAAAGCACAATGCCTGCCTTCAAAGGTTTGGCTGCCCATGAGAGAGGGGCTTGGGGGTCTCTCCTTTTCTGAGTTCCCTCCCACCTCTCAGAACGGAGGAAGGAAAAGTGGAAAGGCTGTGCTCAGGAAAGCCCAAGGAACGGGCCTCTACCCTAGACTGACTGGCTTTGAGGAGTCTTCAGAACCCGCAAACCCCTGCGTGTGCCTCACAGAACCCTTGCACTATCTGATCCACCACTTACCCATCTTAGGAAGTCCAAAACCACGTTCCTTTCTATTATTATTTGCAATGCTCTAACTGATCTTCCTAGAGCAAACCTACCTTCCCATTGTGATCCTATAACAGTCAACTTCAGAAAACAAAAGCACAACACACGACCAACTAAAAATAGAACATACAGTTCCAAAGACAGCAGAGGAAAGTATGTGGCATTGATATTTTCCACAAGAAATCCTTTGGTTGGCCAACTGGCTCCTAAGTAAGAAAGCAAGGGCTTCTCCCAAATGTTGAATGTTTCAAAAACACAATCACCAACTTGTATCCCGGGAAAACCAATGTAAGCCTTGCTCACAAAAGAGAAAGCAGAGGGGTTTCTGAAAGAAATGACTCCAGCCAGGCTTGTGGCTGCCCATATCCTTAGCACCTAGAGCCACCTAGATAAGCAAGGAGCAGAGGATGAGGCTGTTTATGGTACTTCCATAGTGCATCATGTAATATGCCAGACTTTAGCTCAATGGGCAAAGATAAAAACAAACTCACCATTTGATCCAGCTGAAAGAGCTGTGGGGAAGAAGGCAAACAGCAAAGTAAGCACATGCTGGGTTTGTTGTTAAAAGCTGAGAAATCAATAAAATGTAAATGCTTGACATGGGATCAACGTTCTTTCCAATCATTCTACCCATCCTCATCCAATATAACACCAAAAATGCCAAGAACAAACGGCGATTTCCTTGGCTTTTTCTTTCTGAACCGAATATTTGAAATTATAGCAAAAAGACAATTTACTTCTATGAGGGGGTTTTCAACAAGTTCATGGAAGATGAGCATTATGAAGAAACTATGCATGGATTTCAAACATTTTCTGCACTGGAATAAACACCTTTTAATTTCACTTTCTACAAACTTTTTGAAGTATCCTTGTATGCTATTTTATTTATAGTTACCAGTTTTCTCTTTTTAAACTAATTATTTCAAAATATATCCTTTAATAGGCAGGAAGTATTTTCTACTGATTAAAATTAAAAGAATGCATTACCTACATGGCTTGGAAGTTTAACTCTGTAACAGCCATGTAGCCCATAGTGGTAGATAGAGGTTTCCACTCTAAAAAGGCTGCATTTCACCCCTTTCTTACTTTAGCATCAGCAATGCAAGAATGCTATAGATGCTGTACAGTAGCTACTACTAAGCATGTGACAGGAGACTACTATGTTTGAGCTTTCAGAATTTGTGAAATTGATGATAACACAGCTCACCGATACTGGAACATGAATTCTTAGGAACCTGTGCTAATGTTTACACCAATTCCCAAATGTAATTGTGAACAGATTATTTTACCTCCAGAAAATACTTCCATCTTAAAAACCTAAGATTTTGTGACTCTAACCTGTATCCTCTTCTATGCAACCACATACCTGAAAGCTTAGGTTGTGTCTTTTTCTTTTTGCTTGAAACTTTTAAGAACTCATCAATAAGCAAGTCATTAGCACAAGCTCTCTTGTCAGGGTCTGGTTCAAAACATTTCAGGATGAACGCCTTCGCCTCTGCAGACATGGACTCCGGGATCTCGGGGTGGACTTTAAACATTCCCACCTGAGACAGCAACAGAGCAAGCACAGCGTCTGCTGAGTGACCATCTCATCACCTGAGCCCAAGTTCTAGCACTTGGCCCCCAACACAACAAGGTCCCCCACTACAAACTCATGACTTTCTCAAAGTGAGATAGCATATACTTCCTGTAGGTTATGGTCAGTGGTTCAGTAGCTTTTCCAACAATACAGGCAGAGTAATTACCTTAAGACAGTGCAATAGCATTATGAAGTATTAATTCAGTCCTTCAAAGCTTTAGAACACATTAATGTACTGGCACACAAAAAGGTATTTTTAGTTGAGACCATTCAGTTGCTCACAATAGTCAGGAGCCAGGCATTGTGCTGGTGTTTTTTCCACTTATGAATCTCATCAAATCCTCTCCCAAACCTGGTGGACTAAATAGTATCCCTGTTACACCAAGAAGGGAAACAGGGCTCAGAAGGGATGAGGTTACATGGTTATTAACCGGCAAATCTGGGATTTAAACCTCAATTTATTTGGATTAAAGCCTACGTGCTTCTCCATTACATAATTTGTATTTCCCCTGTCTCAAAGCACCTACATTAAAAGAGATACTTAAAAGGCCTTAAAATTAAACAGTTTTATAACAATTAAGAATCTACTTTTCCTTAAGATTTGCCGAGAAAGACACTCTTTTACGTCAAGAAAGGCTCTCTCAGCATCTCTCACTGCTCTTTCCGTCAGCACTGTCCCACCCAACCATCCTCAAGGCAAAGTAAGCCACACTTTGTCCAGAGCTGTGGGTGTGGAGCACACGGCCCTCACGCGAGGCCACACACAAATGGCCAGCACAGGGAGAAGATGCAAAGAATCACCAAAGGCCTGTGCCTTACAGAACACACTCCTGAGTTCTGCCTGGGAATCAGTTCCCATTTGAAACTTCCCCTGGCTTGAGGTCGAGGAGCCAGGTCTGCCACAGCAGTTCCCACCCACTGCAACTGCTCTCCCAGGCCTATTTCTGTTATCAGGTGCTTTCTACCATGAGAGGTGGTGGCGGTGGGTAGGGTGTGTCTCACTTTCCAAGGAACTACTAATGGGGGAATTACCAAGCTATAAGATGGGATGTATGAGAAGAAGACTGATTTAAAAATTTTAAATTTTAAAAATAAAGACTTCAAACTATTAAAGTAGAGAAGTAAAGGCAAACATTGACTGGACTGAATTCCTAAGTGGGTGCAACTATTTTTTCCCAGTGGGAAACTTGACTATTTCCAAAAGAGCTTATATCATCTTGTGTACAGTGGGGTATCAATTGGCCTGCATTGTTAAAAAGCAGTCAAAGGAAGTCAGGTTGCATCTCACACTGTGGCTAAGAAAACCAAGGCAGCAGAGCCCCTCTGAGGAAGGCACAGGCCCTGATTCTGACAGTGAATCTTCCAAACTTGAATGTGCTGTCAGCTCAGGCTTACTTAGGTTCCTTCCCTTTTACCTTGGGGGGAAGGGGGGCAGGCATATACATGTAGGATACTCAGTAGCTATGAAAAGCATTATCCACTTATTTCTAAGATAATACAAGAGGTGACCTTGAACATAGCTGCCTGTGGTTCTCCCAGCTCATAAAACGGGGGCTTTCCGGTGGCCATCTCGATGATCGTGCAGCCCACAGACCAGATGTCTGCAGCCTTCCCGTAGCCACGAGGTCCCTTGTCTATGATTTCTGGTGCCATGTACTGAAGGGTACCTGCAAACAATCCACACACATTTCCACTTCAACAAAAGAAAATGGATGGGTGACAGCTCCAGTTTCACTACCCAAGTAAGACAACTTTAAAAATATGATTCAGGTGTTAATATCTCATTTTTCTTTGTGTTCCAGTTCCCTCTGCTGTGAGTACAAATGGCAACAGCAATTTATATGATGAATTTTCTCAGTGACATAAAAAATAGTTTATTAATATGATCTGGTTATGGAGAGAAAGGTGGAGAATAATTGAGGCTTCATTTCATTGGAACCTCTTAGACAGTCCTAACTATTAGTCTTTTGAACACAACAGAGAATTTGTCAACACATATTTCCTGGAATCACTTTTTAAAATACATGAAGACTGCTATTATAAACTGCTATTATAAACACTTCCAATCTTTCCCCAGGAAAAACCTAACATTCATCTACTTTCTGAAATCTGTATTTCTCAATTCCTGAACTGAATGCTTAATTCTTCTCTTTTCATTCTTATTTCTTAATCATAACAGCATCAACATTCTGAAAGCCACTGAGAAAAAATAATGCAAAAAATCCTGGCATACTCTACTCTGTAAATCAAATATATGGGACTCCTACTGCATGTCTGTAATATGTGGAGTAGTCAGTTAAACAGATCAAAGGTCATGAGCAAACGACAGAGCCAAATCATCAGATACAATGAGTAAGAATAAAATGGCAAAGAGAGATTTAGAAGGCTACATGCAATCAGAGTGGTGTGATGGAAAGAACATTAAATGAGTAGCAAAGACCTGCTGCTTCTAGTTCTAGCTGGGCTCATCCCAAGTAAACAATTGTAGTGACTCCGCTGGATCAAAGGAGAGGCAAGATTCCAACTTCTAATACCCCTTGAAAGGTTTCCCGCCCTCTAGCAATGGGTCAGGAGCATGAGTAGGAATGTATTATCATCATATCCCCTGCTTCACTCACACTAATGATACAATCAGCAAATAGGAATCCATCTAAGATGCCAAGCTGAATTATGTCAAATCTTGGGACATTCGCCTAAAGAACTACTTCAGTATTTTCTGATTCAAAACTGAACTGATGGACATTTTTTTTTTTTTTTTTGACAGGCAGAGTGGACAGTGAGAGAGAGAGAGACAGAGAGAAAGGTCTTCCTTTGCCGTTGGTTCACCCTCCAATGGCCGCCGCGGCCGGCGCGCTGCGGCCGGCGCACCGCGCTGATCCGATGGCAGGAGCCAGGAGCCAGGTGCTTTTCCTGGTCTCCCATGGGGTGCAGGGCCCAAGCACCTGGGCCATCCTCCACTGCACTCCCTGGCCACAGCAGAGGGCTGGCCTGGAAGAGGGGCAACCGGGACAGAATCCGGCGCCCCGACCGGGACTAGAACCCGGTGTGCCGGCGCCGCTAGGCGGAGGATTAGCCTAGTGAGCCGCGGCGCCGGCCCTGATGGACATTTTAAAAAATATAGACAATGCCTTTCAGGAATGTTTCATGCATGATTTAGTGCAAAAAACTGTTACATAAAATTCTCCTAAACTATTCCTGTGAAACCTACAACTGAAGACTGGAAATGAACTGCTGTCCATACATAGCATATGAAAGCATACTATTTTTGTCCATCTGCCAGTTTCATCCTACAGACTTGATCATTATGCATGAGCGTATTTCATGTTCATGTAGACATATAACTTTACATGTCAGCTCTATGCTTAAATCACCAAAATTACTGGAGAAAAGCCTTTTACTTAGCCAAAGATAAAGCAAGTGTGACGAAAGTCACCCTGGGTAACTGCACACAAAGTGGCCAGACACACCTCCTCCTAGTGTAAAATTGTTATGGATGTTCTTCACCTATGGCCTTCTTCCAAGTGATAACTTTTTAAGACCTAAATAAACCCCACCGGCCTGTTAGAAAATATGTATTGAAACCTACCATTCCTGCTTGTTGTCTCTGGGTCTAGAACAGAATCAATGAGAGAATTTCAGGTGTACTAACATCCATGCAGGAATTACAATGGACAAAAAAATACAGTGAATTTTTAAAACTGAAAAGTCATGTAATGTCAACAGTGAATTATGCAATATTTTTATTTTAAAAAATGATATATAAGCCGGCGCCGCAGTTCACTAGGCTAATCCTCCGCCTTGCGGCGCCGGCACACCAGGTTCTAGTCCGGGTTGGGGCGCCGGATTCTGTCCTGGTTGCCCCTCTTCCAGGCCAGCTCTCTGCTGTGGCCAGGGAGTGCAGTGGAGGATGGCCCAAGTACTTGGGCCCTGCACCCCATGGGAGACCAGGAGAAGCACCTGGCTCCTGCCATCGGATCAGCGTGGTGCACCGGCCGCAGCGCACTGGCCGCGGCAGCCATTGGAGGGTGAACAAATGGCAAAGGAAGACCTTTCGCTCTGTCTCTCTCTCACACTGTCCACTCTGCCTGTCAAAAAAAAAAAAAAGATATATAACCTCTTACATAAAGTGATTTACAGAGTTGGATAAGGATAATGTAAGTGTATCCTAACATTGGCCTACAGAAACCAAGTGAGAGTATGAACTCTTAAAGTCTAAGCTATTTGTCTGCATTCCAAAGGTTTTCTTTTAATTTTTTGTCTACTTGTCTGGGTTGTGAGAAGTGGAGAAACAGACTGAGAGCTCCCATCCCACTGATTCACTCACCCAACGACCTGTGATGGCCAGGCCTGGGGGGAGGCAAAAGCGAGGCCCTGGGAACGCCTGGTGGTGACTTCCCTGCTGCATTAAACCCCTGCCCCTGACTAGCATCGTAGAAGGATCAGTCTGACTGCTGTGCTGAGGACGGACAGGAGGGCGCACATGTGGAAGTGGAAGAACACTTAGGAGTCTTGAAATCAAGCAAGCGAGAGATGAGGGTAGTAGCAGCAGAAGTAGAGAGAACTGGTCCGATTTTGGACAAAAGGCTTCCTTGATGGATTGGGTTTGGAGTGTGACAAAAGTCACCCTGGGTAACTCTGCACACAAAGTGGCCATCAAATGAGACAGGAAGATTGTGGGTAGACTAGGCTTGAGAAGATAATGAATTCCATTTGGCAGGTTAAGTCTAGTTTGAATCTCAGCCTGGTTACTAACTAGCTTTGTGACCCCAAGCCAATTGTTCAACCTCTTTGAACCTTAATTTTCTCCCCATAAACTGGGATAATGATCCCTAATGATTAGGGCTGATGTGCAAATTGCAATGAAATCACATATGTAAGGCACTGAGCACAGAGCCAGGTATATAGTCAGCACTCCCCAAACAGTGCTTACTCTGGCCTTTTTCCTAACCCAAATCGAGAGGGAAACAGATCAGTGTCTTTCAACTGCATTCACCAGAGGCTAACCAAGAACCTGTGAGTTGGAGAGCACCGAGAGTGGCACGAGGCCCTCGGTGTTGAGGGGCTGGAGGTCTGCCCACCCATTGGCTCTCAGAGTCAGTACAGGAGACAGATCTTGCTCCCCATGCCAGGGGGACAGGTAAGCACAAGCAAACGGCCTGTGTGGTCTACGTTCCGGTAACTCTTTTGGAAACTGTACTAAAATAAATAAATAAATAAATAAATAAATAAATGTGTTCAACTTGCGCAGAAGACATTAAACTAATATCCTGTCCCTAAAAGCGTGAAAGCAGGCCTTTTCCTCCCAGGAGTTCCCAAGCCTTGGCAGCATCTACAATGTGTCTGGCCAAGCTGGAAGCATATTTACAGTGACTAAGAAGCTGCATTGTATTTTATTCACAAAAATACATTCTAACTGCATTTACTTCTGTGCCCTGCAATACCTATCACCTGGAAGGTGGGATGTGGGCCAGAGGTGTGAAATTTCTCTCTTCTTTTCCACTCCCAGGCTATCAGGATGGACAGGGCAGCCAGAGGAGGTAGAAAGTAAACGTAAAGAGCAACAGTAGGGGCAAAACCTAGACATGACCTCGCGCATGTCCAGACTGCTGAGGCCTGTGGCATGAATGAACTTCTCTCTCAGTTTGCCCATCTGCAAAATGGAGGCACTGCTGCTGCTTTAGCAGAGTTTAGAAATGGGCCAAGGATTATTCCACACCTTTCTTTCTTTTCTTCTTGCTAAATTTCTTTCTCTCAAACAACCAGATGTCTTCACTTTTGTGAAGTTCACTTTGTCTCTACCCTCCGGGCACTGGGCATCAGAGGCAGCCCCAGCGGCTGGGTTGCCAATTTCTCAGAAAAGTTCCACTCACCCCACCCCCCACACCTCCAGCTGCCTCCGCCAAGTTGGTGAGTCACTTCCTCTTTGTGAATCAAAATCCTCTAGGTTATTTATATTGGGGGGTGGGGTGGGAGAAGAAACCACAGAGAGTAAACAGCCTAGGAAGATGGACTTCTTAGTCCAACTGGGAAGTGATTAAGGAATGAGTAAGAATCATAGCAAGGTCCAGCTAAGCCAACATTATTATTATTATTACTTTTTAATCTTTCTGGGGTTACTATGGTTGTAGGCCAACCAGGAGTGACATAATGACAGAAAACAAATAACAAAATTGAGAATGAGAAAACAAACTTCAGTGGCATTAAGTAGGAGACCAAGCCAATCATATAAATATAAGAGGGGGGAAAATGACTAGATGAAATTCTGTATAACATTTTTCATCAAAAGATGCTGACATGAATGTTGTGTGGGAATATCATCAACATTTTTGTCTTATATTACACTCAAACCCTGCAATTACTTCTGTAATTACTAAGATCTGTGTCATCATTGCAAAGACATACCAGTGAAAGTTTCAGTGCACGGGTTAATGCCAGCAAGCCTCTTTGATGTTCCGAAGTCAGAGATCTTGAGCACCCCACTATAGGTGTTAATCAACACGTTGTCACCCTAGGGAACAGAGGCCCTCAGTCAAACGTGGTACCTCCCTTCAGGGACTGTGGTGTTGATTTGTGAAGTCCAATGACAAAACCTGTCCTTAGAACAAACAGGACGCTAATACTGAATTCTTCACGAGTAGTTTATCTTGGTAAACAATTCTTGAAACCATCTTTTAGCTGACATACCCTCAGTTGTATGCAACCAGAACATGGTTCTGAGGTAGAGCTTGCTACCGTGCACTGACAGGCTCTCTGTGTTTGACACCCATAGGAGAAGTTAAATGATGATTTTCCCAAGTTCCTAGCTTCTTTACTTGCTTTTTTATCTTGCTTTATTTCTTTTCCTGGGATATTTTGGGAGACCACAAATGGGCACTTGGGTTGATTTCAGAGTCGTAATATTAATTTACTATTAATAGTGCAGCCTTGGTCAAAAATTTGTTACTTCTGAATTATTTCTTTTTAAAAGAGAATCCAGACCGGCGCTGCGGCTCACTAGGCTAATCCTCCACCTGTGGCGCCGGCACACCGGGTTCTAGTCCGGGTTGGGGCGCCGGATTCTGTCCTGGTTGCCCCCTTTCCAGGCCAGCTCTCTGCTGTGGCCAGGGAGTGCAGTGTTAGATGGCCCAAGTGCTTGGGCCCTGCACCCCATGGGAGACCAGGAGAAGCACCTGGCTCCTGCCTCCGGATCAGCGCGGTGCGCCAGCCGCAGCGCGCCGTCCATTGGAGGGTGAACCAATGGTAAAGGAAGACCTTTCTCTCTGTCTCTCTCACTGTCCACTCTGCCTGTCAAAAATAAAATAAAAGAGAATCTAAAGTTATCATTTTAGTCCATACTTTTAGCTTTCATGTTCAACCCATGAACACATGATACTTGTGAGACAAAGGGATCTTACTTTCATCTAAGCACCCATCTACTGATGCAGTAAATATTTATGGAGTCACTACTATGGGCTTGGATACAAAGATTAACCAGCCTGAAAGCTGCTTGGGCACAGAGACCCTTTCCTGTTTAGTTTCATACTACTGCACTCCCACCCCACAGGGCTCCGGGAATACATCACAGAGTGGGAGCACAATCTTGTTTGTTGAACATGGTTAAAGAGTTTATTCCCTGAGTAGGAGACATAAGGCATGAACATAAACAACTGATTCAGAGTGGTATGACAACTTCTGTTTCTGTTGTTTCTAAGACTTACTTAATCATCATTCTACATTAATATTAATAACACCATATGACTTGCAAAAAAGACAACCACACAGCAAGGAAATCCTGAAAATGAATCCTGGCACATCCTACCTTTATATCCCGATGTACTATTTGATTGTCATGGAGGTATTTTAATCCTTCTAGTATTTGCTTTGTATAAAAGCCAATTGTTTGCTCATTGTCTTTTAAGGGGCCCCATTTGGAACGAAGAAGAGCAGAAAGACTTCCTGTAAGGAAGATAGAAACAGTAGATAAAATCTTATCCAAATGAGTGCTTTAAAACATATTAATAATTTAACACTAATTTACACCAACATTTATTGGTTCTTTACAGTGCCAGGAACTATACCAGATACTGGGATTCAAATGTAAATATGAAAATGTCCCTGCTCTGAAGATGGACAATATCAAATACAGTCTAAGTAAAAGGCCAATCATTTGCTAGCTTCAATCCAAGTCAAGATAACTAAAATTGAAATGGCAGCATTATTTGTTAATTGCTAATCAATTGTCAGGTAATAACATGTATCTCATTTTCCTTCAGCTTAGACACAGGAAGACCTTTCTGAAGGGTCTTCACAAAGTTCATGGAAAACACATTGTGAGACAAATTCATGGGTTTCAACATTGTTTGCACCACAATTGATTTATATTTTAACCAATTTTTTTCCACAAATTTTCAAAGCCCCTTCATATAATCCCATTCAGTTATCTTTAATATATTAGAAATTTTTATTTTTTTTAAAGAAAGAAAGTGTAGTCTTACCTCCTGGGACCTGCTCCATGAAGATTTTAATAAAACCGTTTTCACTGAAAGAGCCCAGATACTGGACAATATTTTTGTGCTTCAGGTGCTTATGCAATGCTATTTCTTCATGTAGGGGCTGAGAGTATCTGAAAAATACACAAATGTCAATGAGCTAATGATGTAGCCAATCTTGCATGTATAAATTTAAGTAATACAGATGAAAAATGTCAGCTAAATGCATGCCCACGTATAAAAATCCAATGATCATCACTGCCTTTATTCCTCCCAAGATAAATTCTGTGAAGTTGAAGCTGTGGTAGGATCTGAGGGGAAATGCGCCAGGTACTGTCGTAAACTCTATTAATCTGACTCAGTAAGTGTATGTCAATTAATTTCTCACAACTCCTTGAGAGGGTACTAGTGGAATGCCCATTTTATAGATGAGGAAATTCACATGGAGGACGACTAACTTGCCCAAAATCACAAAGTAAGGGCCAGACTTAAGATTTGAACCGAGGAGAACTGGACTCATCCACACGGCTTACTGTCCATATGAACATGACTTTCAAGTCCATCGACACTCTTGACCAGCAAGACAAAAAATTGCAAATAACATTAATGTTCCTTTCAAAACTTCCTGGCAGACCCATCAACTCTTCAATAGAAAACAAAATCATCATCGCTTCTCAGCCTTTTGGCTAAGATCAAGTGTAGTATCTGTTCTTATGAGAAAACAAAATCATCTTCTCCAAGTTTCTTTATGTCTTTGGTTTCAAAATCCTCACCCTATTGAGTTCACCAATTCTACTGTGTCCTGATTTTTACCAAACCTTAACCAAACCTTCACACTGAAAAAAGAGTGTTCATCCATACATCACAATCATGTATTTGGTACACGTCACTATCAAATTATACAAGTATTTTTTTTTATTTCTAGAAAAGAACATTTTTGATGATTATGTGAAGTAAAAGCTAACAGCCTCTTACCAATCCTGCATTCAACATAGCTCTAGTTATTATATAACTTGCCAAAGAACAAAATTTTAACAAATTGAGTTTAAAATATGGGCTTTTATTAGGGATTTATGAACTGGGCGGCATCTGGTCAAGACAAGAGCTCTGCTGAGCACACAGAACAGGTTTTTATAAGGTAGTTCAAGGGGTCAGTGCTGTGGCATAGTAGGTAAAGCTGCCACCTGGAGCACCAGCATCCCGTATGGGCACCAGGCTGCTCCACTTCTGATTTGGCTCCCTGCTAACGAGCCTGGGAAAGCAGCCAGAGGATGGCTCCAAGTGCTTGGGCCCCTGGAGACTACATGGGAGACCCGAAGGAAGTTCCTGGCTTCTGATCGGCGCAGCTCTGGTATTGTGGCCTTTGGGGAGTGAACCAACAGATGGAAGATCTCTGTCTGTCTCTGTCTCTCCCTCCCTCTCTGTAACTTTGCCTTTCAAATAAATAAATAAATTCTTAAATAAATAAATAATCTTTTTAAAAAAAATGAGGTAGTTTGAGCAGGAACAAGCAAACAGCACGATGTTTCAGGTCACTTTCATTGTGTGGGTTAAAGCGGAGAGGGCTTCTTATCACGCTGGCTCTTACCATGAGGTCTCTTTTGATGGGTTTACTCTGGATCTCCTATTGATTGAAAAGCTGGCCTACTGAAGATATTGGCAATCAGCCCCTTCCTGATTTCCTGGAAGATCATATCTTACAAGTAAGCAGCAGCATAGCTTTTGATTTGGTGATGTGGAAACTGAGCATGAGAGCTGCATGTAGGGTTGGTCTACTGGGACCTAGCACAGGAGCTCAACCCAAATCAATGGCCTCCCATAAATTTTAAGTAACAAGATAAATACAGGATGGCATCAACAACAATAAGCAGAAACTTATAGCTATTTCCTATTATTTTTTAACTCTTATAAAACTAAGGCCATAGGTGTAGGAAATACTAACTACTTAAGACAAATGAAATACAAATCTGATGTCTCATACTTGCTTCAGTCCTTTATGTAGGAAATGCTCAGATCCTACAATGACAAACTCACATAAGCAGAATGGTATTGTTTTAATACTGGTAACAAATGCTAGAATTGGTGATAGTGAGTAACACTATTTTCATGAAGCTTTTCAGGGTAAGTGTTAAAGCTAAGAAATCAGTTTATAAAAATCCAATTAATTTAATTAATAGTTAAAATTACATAATATTACTTAGAAAGCAGCCAGCAACAACATTTATTTTAAAAATAGTTTTAAAAGATTTGTGTTTTAAAACTATTACTCACTGTTTCTTTAGAATTGCTCTAGGAATCAAAAAGGGCAGGTATTAAAATAAGGAGCCTTTAAAGGACTTCATGTTAGAGGCAGCAATTCTTCATAATTGAATGAGGTAATACAAGAAACGCTAATATGCAATATTATCAATAAGATACTCATCTAACGACTCTCAACTATGAAGATATTCATGAGTTACTTCTTTGACATTATTCATGACTGCTCTTGTTAGCCGTGAGTGATAAATTCTGTGCCCTTTCTACAGATGTAAGAGATTAAAGTAATTAAATAATCCAAGGCAAGCAACTCACTCAGTTTATTAGGAATCAAAGGGCTCACACCTCCTAATTCCCTTTTAAAATCAAACCATAAATGCTTAAATTAAAGACACTGGAGAAGCAAATAACCCTACCTCATTATTTAAATCAAGGATAGTTCAAAATCTGTATTACTAGTCACAGTCCATTCTACCTAAGGATAAATATTCTCTCCAATATTAAAAATATTATGAAATGTCTGTGTGTATCATCAGTAATTCTGCAAACATAGTTTCATCAAACTTTGTTTTACACCTTTGTTAAATTTTTTCCACGATACACTACTGTAGCTTTAATCTTTGATTATTTTAAAATTTACTGTATAAGAGTAAAATGGACATCTTTTCATTTGATCATTGCTTATATCCCTGGCCTATATTCCTCCTGAATTGTGGTCATTTCATTTTCATCATTCAGGTCTCAACTGAAAAGTCCTGCCAAGATCTGGGTTGACCTTTGTATGCCTGATGGACAGACACCAGTGTGGCTGCACTGGAGGTGAGGCCTCAGAGCAAGTGGATTGCCCATGGCCTTGTGGCTCAAGCTAAGCGTTCTGGGTTTTATGCTGCTTGCAGTAAGAATTCATTGAAGGGTTTTAGGCAGTCGTGACATAATGTGACTTTTAAAAACAAGACTAACTTTTAGAGCAGTTTTAGGATCATAGCAACAGTGAGCAGATGGCAGAGAGACTTCCCTGGTCCTACATATATATAACTTGTGCCATTATCAGCACCCTTCACCAGAGTGGTACATGTGGTACAACTGATGAACCTACATCAACACATCATTACCACCCACGATGGGTTTTAACTTTAGAAAGATCTCCGTGGCTTCTCTGAGGAAAGATGAGCTGTGGATGGAGGAAAAAGTGGAAGCAGAGACTAGTTAGGAGGTGGCTGCAGAAATCAGTAAGGAGTCCAAGTGAGAGGCCTGAAGGCTCAGACTAGAGTTGTAGCTGTAGTGATAGCAGAGAACAGAATGATTCAGAATATATTACAGAAGTTGGGATGATAAACAACGCAATTAATAGAATAAACGTAGTGTGTGTGAGAGAGTGGATCCCAAATGAGTCCAGGGTTTCAGCCTAAATAGTTGGGTGGAAGGGTGGGTACCATTAACTGACGTGGGGAATACTGTAAGGGGAATTCATTTGGGAGTAAAAATCTTGGCTCCGTTTTGTTAACCTTGAGATCGTCTTAGATGTACAAGTGGAGAAGGCTGATTATGAGACCTTTATCACTGTGACCACAGGCAAGCAGATTTGAGGGAATCCAAAAGAAGCTCATGATGTAGCTGGGCATTAAAATGTGGCCAAATAAGGATAGTAATAAACAATCTAGTCCTCTCTCTTTTAGATGTTGAGTACACAACACATGGAAAATGTACATAGCTGACTGTAGGAGCACTATCATAGAAGACATAAGGGAGAATGTGAGCCAGTAGAAGCCACGAGGCTGAGAGAAATATTAGTTGGATAAACAAAACATAAAGCAGAGTACTAGGGCACAGAACAACAGATAATCGTGTTAACAGAGTTGTTCAGTTTTCTGAATTTCTGTTGCTAGAAACAACTTTGTTTTCCACAAGGCCTCGTGATATGTGGTTCAAGCTATTCAGCACATCTTTCGTAGCTTTCTGCTTTTCTTTTTTTTTGAAACTTTTATTTAATAAATATAAATTTTGAAAGTACAACTTTTGGATTATAGTGGCTTTCCCCCCCATAACCTCCCTCCCACCTGCAATGATCCCATCTCCCACTCCCTCTCCCATCCCATTCTTCATCAAGATTTATTTTCTTTTCTTTTCTTTTTTTTTCTTTTTTGACAGGCAGAGCGGACAGTGAGAGAGAGACAGAGCGAACTGTCTTCCTTTTGCCATTGGTTCACTCCAATGGCCGCTGCAGCCGGCACATTGCGCTGGTCCGAAGCCAGGAGCCACATGCTTCTCCTGGTCTCCCATGCGGGTGCAGGGCCCAAGCACTTGGGCCATACTCCACTGCACTCCCGGGCCATAGCAGAGAGCTGGCCTGGAAGGGGGGCAACCGGGACAGAATCTGGCGCCCTGACCGGGACTAGAACCTGGTGTGCTGACGCCATAGGCAGAGAATTAGCCTATTGAGCTGTGGCACTGGCAAGATTCATTTTCAATTATCTTTATATACAGAAGATCTACTTGGTATATACTAAGTAAAGATTTCAACAGATTGCACCCACACAGATACACAAAGTATAAAGTACTGTTTGAGTACTAGTTTTACCATTAATTTGCATAGCACAACACATTAAGGACAGAGATCCTACATGGGGAATTAAGTGCACAGTGACTCCCATTGTTGATTTTACAATTGACACTCTTATTTATGACGTCAGTAATCACCTGAGGCTCTTGTCATGAGCTGCCAAGGCTATGGAAGCCTCTTGAGTTCACAAACTCTGACCTTATTTAGACAAAACCATAATCAAAGTGGAAGTTCTCTCCTCCCTTCAGAGACAGGTACCTCCTTCTTTGATGGCCCGTTCTTTCCCCTGGGATCTCACTCACAGAGATCTTTCATTTAGGTCATTTTTTTTTGGCCACAGTGTCTTGGTTTTCCATGCCTGAGAAACTCTCATGGACTTTTTAGCCAGAACCGAATGCCTTAAGGGCTGATTCTGAGGCCAGAGTGCTCTTTAGGGCATCTGCCATTCTATGAGTCTGTTGTGTATCCCGCTTCCCATGTTGGATCATTCTCTCCTTTTTAATTCTATCAGTTATCATTAGCAGACACTAGTCTTGTTTATGTGATCCCTTTGTTTTCTCTTTTCTTTCTTGCAATATATTTTTTGTAGTTTTCCCATAGTTCTTGGATCTTTTGTCCCACTTTTTTCAGTTTTTTTTTTTTTTTTTCTGTTGTCGCTTTTCAGTTTTAAAAGTTCCTACTGACACATCCTCAAGCTCGGAGATTCTTTCCTCAACTGTGTCTGGTCATCAGTGAAGCCATCAAAGACACTGTCCATTTCTGTTACAGTGTTTTTGCTCTCTAGCAGTTCTTTTGATTATTTCTTATGATTTCCATTTCTAAGCTGGCATTACCATTTTTACATGTTATCTACTTTTTCCATTAGCGTTCTTGGCATATTCTTCATAGCTGTTTTAAATTCCCACTCCAACAATTCCAACATCCCTACCATGTCTGACTCTGGTTCTGACCCTTGCTAGTTTCTCTGAACTGTGCTTTTTGCTTTATAGTATACCTTATAATATTTTTGCTGAAAGGTACACAAGATGTACTAGGGAAAAGGAACTGCTCTCGGCAGGCTGTTAGTTATCTGATGGTGAGGTTTGTGTGCGCAGAGGAAGAGTTCTGCACTTCTGTAATAAAGACTCAGTACTTTGGTCAGCATTTGTCGCTGGGCTATGAGCGTCACAAGTGTTTCTCAGTTTTACCCACTTATGTGGAACAGGATGGCTAGAGTGGGCTGGATGGCAGCATTTCTCTACCCCTACCTGGGACAGGCTCTGGTTAATGAGTTTCTCCTGAGAGCAGGCCTTGTGAAGGGAAGAATGCTGAACACATTTAAAAATGGTAACATCTTCCCTCCCCTTTCCAGAAGCACAAGGGAGATTTTCTCTGGCAGGGCTCCATGACGTAAAACTCAGAAAGTGTAGAGGGGCCTCCAGCAATGCATCAGTGACAGTTCAGGTTTTCCCACCCCAGCACTGGTTCTCATGGGGGCTTCTGCTTGTGGACTTCTGCTCTGGCATGTTTTAACTCTGTGTATTTGCCTGTCTGTCTCTCCCATTTTGGGGGCAGCTGCCTGTCTTGTAATTTAACTTCACCAATGGACTGATGAAGAAACCCTGAGTCTCAGTCTGTTCAGTTTTCCAGTGTTAGCAAGGAATGATGATGTCCAAGCTCCTGACATGCCCAACTGAAAACTGTTACTTCTGGTTCCAACCATTTCTGATAGTGCTTATTCCCCATCCTTCCATCCAATAAACCCACCTTTATGTGGCATAAGCTGAGTCCAGTACACATGGGACCATTCTCTTTTCCTATAACTACTCCTACCCCCAATCCATCTTGTGCTTGTATCACTTAACAGTACAGCAGCCAAACCTCAGAAGGATCAAATGAACACCCTGGAGTTCTCAGGGCTTCATTAGCATACCACCAAGCATTTTCTAAATTGCTACTAACAACCCAAAGTGCTTTAGAAAATAGCATTTGTTAGCGACAGTTACTGTACCTGCTATCTCTCTCTGGGATTTCCTTAATAGCAATTCTGACTTGGTTGCTCAGGTCTCGACCTGCATAGACGATTCCATAGGTGCCTTTGCCCAAAACAACTCTGTCTCCATTTTCATCATATTCGTAGTCATACTACAAAAGAAAAAATGGAGAGAGAAGACTGAAATATTACTTGCATTCTTTATTTCAAACATGATTTTTCCCCCCAACAGCATTCTTCCCTGTTTTCTCAGATGGCTTCAACAAGTTGAAGTTCTGAAAAGCAGCTTCAAGAACAAAGTAAACAAACACTCTTACTTTCAACATAAAGCAGACAGTGTGTTCATGTTTTCTAACTGTTGTAGATGTAGTAGGGACTACATAGTTAAATTGCTCAAGAGCTTGGGACACTCCTGAAGTGCCTGGCAGAAAGCAGGCTAAAACATTTTAAAGAGGGGCCCCTCCCTCTTCATAGTATGTGGGATTCTCATTGATAATGCACCACTGAAAGTGAGCTCACAATACAGAAATTTTAAATATATAAGGAAACAATTCACCATTAGTAAAGACAGATATGAAAAATATCCATCTTCAAAACTTCATAAAACACAAGTCATAAAATATATACATTTAGCATAAAGCTATAAACTCTTTAAATACATGAGAAAAAGATAAGACATTCTAAAAACAGACTGGACAGGTTTGAGAAAGAAGCAAATGTAACTTCCAGAAATTGGGTTCTAAATAGGAAAAGTAAAAATAAATTCATACTCAGAAACGATATAGGGAAGCTACACAAAGGAAAACAAAAGAAGAACATAAACGGAAGCCAAGATAAAAAAGAACAAATTACTTACACAGGGAGCTGATCAGATCTCTCTGCAAACTCTCTAGAGTAAATACAGGGCATGCTGCTAACACCTCCAGGTTATCTGCCAGCAAGTTCCCAAAATTCTAATAGAAGATCAAATGGTATCTCTTGGGCAAAATCATGCCCCATCCCATGCTAGGGCTGGAGCAAGCACTGGCTCCCCACCAGGCACCCTCCTCTGGCCCAGGACAGAAGCCGTGCTCTGGAAAGGAGTTGTCTGCTTCCCCACTTGTCTCACTGAGCAGCCACTGCCAAGATACCTAGCAGTACCTTAGAGAACACTCCCACTCTGGCTGCCTACTGTAAGGGTGAAGACTGGCCAGTTCAGAGCAGATGACCATGGAGGTTTGTAGGGCGAGGGGACAGGCAGTAGTGATAATTTAGCAATATGCTCATATCTGCAGATAAAACTGAGCTTCATCTCAGAGACAGAAGAGGCAGCATGCATAGTTCAAACAAGGCCACCTGAAGGAGCTCGAGCCTCCCTACCCAGTTCCTCAGGACCAGACTTCTGCAACGCTGTACCAAACATGCAGGGGCCTAGGCCACCAGGAGACAAAGCAGGGACCATCAGCAAAGAAGCTCCACTGTGCCATCTCGAAGGAACAGGAACCTATACTCTGAACCCGGTGCTGTCACCTCACATTATTATTCCTAAGCTTTATAATTTAAAAAGGAAAGGGCTCCAATTTTCAGGAGCCTCCCCATGTGTTGTAGCAGGAAAAGTCTCTGACTACCCTCAATCTACAAATAATCAGAATTATCTTTTCCAGGGAAAATATGCAAGGCATGTGGTTTAAAGTTAGCTCACAAAGTTCCAGATTTTGTGTTCTTTCCACCACCAATCCTGTGGGGAGACCTCATTACTGCATAAGAGCCTGTTAAGGTGAATACTGGTATTTGAACACCAGTATTAGAAAGACATGCCAGTAAATGTCAACATTCACTCAACAGCCATTTGATTCTTGCCCTCTTACATCCCATTTTTTCCTTTCCCTTACTCCCTGTATCAGATGGACTGCCAAATGCTATCAGGCTTTTTTCATTAAAATGCTCACAAATCCATTTTACCTCTATCCTCCTGTTGTCTCAGCCAGGCTTTTCAACTGCATTCATTCTAGTATTGTAACTGGCCTCCCTCCCCCTCCTCTCTTGTCACTCCATTCCCCAGTGCATTCTCCACTAACTTGACCATAAACTTCCCAGAGTTCCAAGGTGAGCTTTCCAGGTCAGGGCCACTTTGTCTGCTTCATTGGCTCCTTGCTGCTTTCAGGATACAATCCAAATGCCTTAGCAGAGCACAAGCGCCCGTGGGGATCTCATCTCAGCCTCTGTATCCAGCCTTCTTTCACATCTGTCTCCCCTCAGGGAACTGTCAGCGAGCTTGCCCAGACCTATACACCTTACCCATGTTACATTTTCTACCCAGGTCATTCCACCTTATGCTTCAAAACCAAGCTTCAGGAAGCTTTTCTGAACTGTCCACCTGCCAGCTGTGCTTCCAGGGCCTCTGTTCCCCTTTACTGTACATCTGTCACTGTGCCTTGTCCTGACCACTTGCCTGCGTACCTGTATGTGCATGGAGTGATTTAAGAACGGAACTTCGTCTTTAATTGCTCTATCCTTCCTCTTAGCAATATTTGGTTTGCAGTAGATGCCCAATAATTATTTAATTAATTAATAGAAAATGTGACAAAAACTTTATCTTTTTAAAAAATTTTATTTAAGGTAAAAAACTTTCATGATAAGAACGATTTAAAAACAGGATGCAAAATAAAATACTGAAAGTTAGCATTGGCTTATTTATGGTTGAAAACAGTTTTGCCACAGGGTATTCACATAGCTTAGTTAAGAATATGTAAGCCCTAATGAGGTTGCTCAAGTTTTAGTTTCTCTTCCCTTCCCTTCCCTTTGGGTAAGCACCCAAAGACTATTCAGAGAAAACAAAAAGGATTATGTGTTAAGTATGGAAGTGAACTCCTGGAGCCAGCAATGTTGCACAGTGGTTATTAGGCCACTAGAGTCCCAGCTGTTCCACTCCAGATCCAGCTCCCTGCTAAATGTGCCAGGAAATGATCCAAGATGGCTTGAGGGGCTAGTGCTGTGGCATAACAGGTAAAGCCACCACCTGCAGAGCCGGCATCCCATATGGGCACCAGTTCGTGACCCGCCTGCTCCACTTCTGATCCAGCTCTCTGCTGTGGCCTGCGAAAGCAGTAGAATATGGCCCAAGTCCTTGGGCCCCTGCACCTGGATGGGAGACCCAGAGGAAGCTCCTGGCTCCTGACTGGACTGATGCAGTTCCAGCCATTGCGGACATCTGGGGAGTGAACCAATGGATGGAAGGCCTCTCTCTTCTCTCTGTGTAATTCTTTACTTTAGAAGTAAATAAATAAGGGGCTGGCGCTGTGGCGCAGTGGGTTAATCCTCTGCCTGCATCCCATACGCGCGCCGGCTAGTCCTGGCTGCTCCTCTTCCAATCCAGCTCTCTGCTATGGCCTAGGAAAGCAGTAGAAGATGGCCCAAGTCCTTGGGCCCCTGCACCCACATGGGAGACCCACAGGAAGCTCCTGGTTTCAGATCGGCACAGCTCTGGCCGTTGCAGCCAATTAGGGAGTGAAACAGTGGATGGAAGACCTCTCTCTCTCTCTGCCTCTCCTTCACTCTGTATGTAACTCTTTCAAATAAATCTTAAAAAAAGTCAAACGGGTCACTCCAGGAGATGGCCTGAGTGCTTGGGCCCTTGCCATGTACATGGGAGACCTGGATGGAGTTCCTAGCTCCTGGCCTTGGCTTGGCCCAGCCCTGGAAGTTGTGGCCATTTGGGGAGTGAACCAGTGGATGAAAGATATTTTTCTCTGTCTCTCCTCTCTCTGTCACTCTTTCAAATAAAATTAATAAATTAATTATAAATAAATTTTCTAAAAAAGTTGACTCCTATTAAATAAAATGGTCATAGTAAAAATCAGAAGAACTTTTAATAAGACCAACATTTATACAAAACTAGCTCAATAGGTAAATTACTGCTTTCTCTCTCTATTAACACCCCTTTCTGTTCTTACAAAATAAAGATACAATTTCAAAAGGCAGTTTTGAAGATAAAAAGGAGATTTTCCTAGCCTTTAAGGATAGACACTTTGATCTATGTAATAAACAGAAGAAACACAGAGCCTAGACTAAGGGCACAGGAAGGCAGGTTCTGTTAAATGACATAAAGACACAAGGTATGATCACCTAGTTTATATTTGGCTTCTATTTCTATAGCAATAGTTTAGTCAATCACATTGTTGCTAAGGGAGATAACTGCATTGTGAGGTGAAGCCATGATGGTAATACTTCTGGAATCACCCTGTTAGGTTGCCTTCCCAGAGACACCTCAATGGTGCTGGGAAGAGAATGGGGCGCAGGAAGAGAATGGGGACAAGGCCAAACAAGAGCGTGATTCATTCAGTCCTTGTGCTGTCAAGGGACCCCCAGCAAAGCAACCACCTAATAAAAAGCCATGCACTTCCCTTTGAAGTCTTAATTACCTTGAGTGATTAAACACCTCAAAGACCAGATGGAAGTCATGTGCTTTTTCAGTCTGTATTGCTTTCTCAATATATAAGTGCCAAAACCATTAATTATTATTAACAAAAATACTGCAGGTACAAATCAAATATTTATTGTGATCTTTATTCCCTCATATCTTTATTTAAATAGCAGCTCGTTAAAAAACTGCCCTTGGCTTCCCTGTCTAAAATTATCCATCCCTGCTATACAGTACCTCTGTACCCCAGCCCAGCTTTATTTTTCTCCCTAACATTGGTCATTGTGTAACATGCTCCGCATTTTACTTATGCTGTTCCTTCTTTGCCTCTCATTAGAATGTAAGCACAATGAGGGCAGGGATCACTCCCTGGTTTTGATCTCTACTGCATCCCCAGCACCAAAAAATAATGCCTACTGCATGAGAGGTGCCTAACAAATACTGGAGTGAGTTAATGGGATCAACTTGGAGCTACTGACGTGAAAATTATTTTAAGCTGACAAAAATCTGAACATGAACAACAACAAAAAATCCCATAGAAATAAACCTTATCTAAACTGATTTTGCTGACTTACCACTACCAAAACCACAGCTGCCATAAATGACTTATCCAGGGGGTAAGCATTTGGCCTAGCCATCAAAATGCTGCTTGGGACACCACAACCCATATCAGTGTGCCTGGGTGTAAGTCTTATCAATGCCTGCAATTCCAGCCTCCCACAAATGTGCACATTCTGGAGGCAACAGATGTCT